AAGCCCCGAGCCGGAGCTGTGCCCTGCGGGGCAGTTACCGGCACTGCGGGTCCCAAGGGAACCCGCGGGCTCGGTGAGATCCCTGCGTGGTTCGTCTGCTCCATCCTCCCCCAAACCTCTCCCCGCGACCCTCCCCCGGGCACCATCCACCCCCGATCCGGCTCCTGCGGGTTGGTGCTGCTGTGTGTAATCTACAGCCTCGGCAGGTTGGGCAGTGTCTGCGCTCGCTGCTGAGCTCCCTGTTAAATGCCTGCAGAGGCCGCGGGAATTGGCTGAGCCAGGCTGTGGAAAAGGCTGTTTGCCCCCAGAGGACAGGCCTAAAAACAGAACAGTGCCAGCCTGGCCTGCCCCAAGCAGCCTGGATTAATTTTGTTCAGAGATGTATTAGTCAGTGTCGGTTTTGGTAAGAGATAGGTCATAGTGTGTCAGCACTGTTACAGGAAAAGTAGCTTTATAAAGGCATTATAATGATCAAACTGCACCAGGTCCCTGGGTGAAAACCTTCCTTGAGCTTTCTAGGATATTCCAGAATCAGTTTTATCTGCTTTTCCCAAAATATTCCACTCCACATCTCCTGTTAACCAAACTGAATGTACATCCCACCTTGGCACGTGTGGCCCCAGGTGTGGCACAAGCCTTAAGCTTTATGTGGACTTGAGATTTCATTTTTCATGTCACCACTAGTTTTATGACTTCAGGAAAGTCACTGTCAACACACCAGTTGCTGAGTTTCTGCATCTGTGAAGTGAAATCATGAATTTTGGCCGCTGGGACTTGAATGTGGTTGGGGATATACTCTGCAGGGAATAATTCTGTGTGATGGGCACGCATGGGATTGTAGTTTATCTTTCTACAGGCTACAAAACTCTGGAAAGAGCCCCCAACCCCTCATTTTAATGCTTTTTTTTCATTTTCATGTTGTGTTGGAGGGAAATTTTAAATCTGTACAGTAATTTCCTGCGGGTACCTAGTCAAACCCCACTGTGACATTTAGTGACTCCTGTCAGCTGCAGACCCAGCTAAACACCTCACTGTTCTGCCTGAGCTTGGAGCTGCTCGTGGACTTTGATGCCTGATACATCCTCTCATATCAAAGTGTGTCTTGCTTGAACAGCTTTTGCCTTCTCTCTGCCAGTCTCACTCCAGATGGCTGAGAACACAACCAGAGCCCCTCAGGACATCCTCAGCTCTTCTCCTGATGAAAACGAATTTCCCTTTGGATACCCAACCAGCATTTGTGAGGATGTGCCTGGCCAGAAGTACCTGTGCAGCAACTGCAATAATGTCCTGAGGAAAGCCCTGCAGACCCTGTGTGGGCACAGGTACTGCTCTGCCTGTCTCACCTGGATCATACGGTATGTCCTGAGAGCTCAGTGACAGCTCCGTGTCTGCCTCTCCCTCCTCCTTGTTTCCACCATGGGACTCTGTGGGGTGGATTACTGGGCCTGACAGATGTCAGGTTTTCTGTCTGTAAGATGGTCATTCTGATTTAACCTTGTAGAACTAGCCCAAGGCTGATTTAATCCTTCCATGGGATTTTACAGCCCATTAATACGTGATGTTATAGAAGTTTAATAAACCTAATGTCCTGCATGTCTTTATGTCTGTCTTAGCAAAATGGGTATTTTCTGTGTTTTAAAAGACTTTTGTTTTCATGTTGTCTTTCCTGTGTGGTGTTTTTGCATAATTCATGAGATAAGTAGGTTATATCTTTATTCCTGTTTATGATCCCTATTTTGCTGAAACCTAGATAAGATTTATAGGCCTAGTCCTGGTCTTGAAGAATAGAAGAGCAGAGGTTTTTTGACATGAAGTATATTCAAGAATTGGCCCTTTAATGAACAAGTTCTGTGGATTCTGAGTGGAAGTTACAATTTCCATGGGTTTATCTCTGTCAGTGCCTATACAAAGGCCTAAACCACAGTGCAGCAATGGATTGTATTGAATTCTTCTTTCTTTCTGCCAGAAACAATAAGAATGCAATTTGCCAGAAATGTAAAGAGGAAGATCCCAACACTCTGAGTGAGGAGAGTCTTTTGGCAGAAGAAAAGGTAAGTTGTAGTTCAGAGCTGTTGATTTATCCCTACCCATTCTCTGGGCTGCTCTGCGTACTACAGTCCAGGAGGGAATAGTTCAAAATGTGATGGCTACACTTCCAACTTATGGTTTAGTCACTTGGATTTCCCTCAGTCTGTGATTTAAACAAGCACAATGGACTTTCCCAGTCCAGGTTCTGCAATGTAAAATCCCACACACTTCATCTATTTCACTTTTTCTTGCCTCAAAGTAACTGGTGCTTTCCTGCCTGTAATAATATGTCTTAGCTGTTACTTACTATCCTGAGTAAGTATTTTCATGGATTTTCCAACCTCGTGGTTTCCTGCACCCTTCAAATATGGAGCTGAATGTAATAACTGATCAAACCTATGCACTGGCAAATGTTTCACCTGTAATTTAACAGTGCAGATCTCTACGTGTGTGATTTTGCAGGCAAACTGCAGTGTGTATTCCAAACACAAACTGGTCCATAAGGCTCAGTCCCAACTTGTCTTTCTTCCTCCTTGCTGCTAACTTCAGGAATATCAAGAAACACCCATTTTTGTCTACATTTTTTAGGGAAAAATGAAACTAAATAGTCATCTGACAGTGACATAAAAGACAAAGTTTAGGAAGTGGCTGCAGCCAAATAACAAATTTGCTGTTGATGCTGAACTTGGTAATAGCTCAGAAAAAAAATCCTCAGTTCTGCTATAAATTTCCCAGTACCAGAACTTTGTGCATGATGTAACCACAAATAGGTGCAGCTGAACCCTCATGAGCTCATTATGCACTGACTGCCAGTTCTGGCTGCTTTGGGATTTCTCTGCTCTGGATTCTCCCCGAGTCTTCTAGGAACTTCTGCAAGGTCTGTGGGTGGGTGGATGTAGCCAGGGCCCCACTCTGACCTGCCTGGCATTTCCCAGTACCAGAACTTTGTGCATGATGTAACCACAAATAGGTGCAGCTGAACCCTCATGAGCTCATTATGCACTGACTGCCAGTTCTGGCTGCTTTGGGATTTCTCTGCTCTGGATTCTCCCCGAGTCTTCTAGGAACTTCTGCAAGGTCTGTGGGTGGGTGGATGTAGCCAGGGCCCCACTCTGACCTGCCTGGCAGGTCCTGTGTCCTTGTCCTGCTGTAGTCAGGCACCACCAAGGCAGGAGGATCTGCCTGATCAACTCACAGCAAACTGTGCAGATTTTCAGTAATGTCATTGAATTAGAGGCATCCAAGAGCATCCAAACCCAATATTAAAAGTGTTCCATAATCTCCGTAACAACTGTACAATTCTTCATGGTTAACATAAGACCAAAACCTACACAGTGCAGAGCAAACCCAAACAAACCACTCCCAGCTGGTTCACATCTCTTTAGCACTAACTGGAAACAGCCCCATCTGAGCATGAGCTGCAGAACACTCCAAGTCCTCTCTGCAGCACGTTTAGGAGGTGTTAATGACCTCGATAATGAGCTGCATTCATTAAGGGACCCCATAGTCAGGGTCTTGTCAGCACACTCGTTGCATGTGACACATTTCAGGCTCCTGTGAAGAGAAATGTGAAATAATAGCTGTAGATGACTGGGGGGATTTTCAGTGAGTTAATAACACATCAAACAGATTATTTTTGAACACTGAGAAAGAAATTTGGGCTTCTACTACACTAAGATTTGCTTGCTAGGTTAGAGTGTCTTCTGCAGTACAGTAAATTTAAAGAAAAATAAAGGATGACAAAAATAATGGAGTAATTTCTGACCAGTGTTTTTTTTCCTTACTGTGTTTGCTTTCCAGGCTTTCGGTGATGCTGCCATTAATAAAGAGATTTCTGAGCTCAGAGTCCACTGTGTGACCCCTGGATGCAGCTGGTCAGGATTCCTGAAGGATTTTGAAGTATGTTTGAAGGCAGTTTATTGACATTAACATCCACTCTTACTCAAACGGGGACAGAGAGACAACAAAACAGGTTCTGAGCAAACACAAATTAATACAGTGTGATTAGAACCAGTGTCAGTGTTGTGATTTACACCATCAGTGTCTGAAACCATTAGGCTAGTGGAAAATTCCCTGCCCATGGCAAGGGGTTGGAGCTAGAGGTTTCCTCCTGTGTCAGTTATTCCTACTGATTGAAGGTCTTCATCCTTCTCTTCAGGCTGGTCTGAAATGCCCCTGGTAAAGTACTTAAGTGGCCAAGGTTTGTGAATCACGTGAATCCATGAGAGTAAGGAATAGAAGGGAGAAATCTGGGACTAGGATCAGGTGATTTCTAACCAAAAAAGAGAGTTCAGGGGAGACTTGCTGCTTGAATTTACCAAAAGTTTTTTAGTTTTGGTTTTGTTTCTGTTAAGAGCTAACAAAAAAGCCCCAGTAAAACTGGTGAATTTCTCACCACTAATCTCAGAAACTCTGTGCAATGGAACTTTACCCAAGCCAGAACAGAGACTATTTATAGAGCAACGTGAATCAGCAGTTTACATGTTGCTTCATGACTTTTTTACTTCCAGGAGCATCAGAGTTTGTGTGAATATGCTTTAATCCCATGTCATACTGGTTGTGGCCATGTGGTGATGAGAAGGAAACTTGCAGATCACTTGGAAAACGGCTGTGTCAATAACGTGACAGTGTGTCAGCAGTGTCACTGCAGCTTATCCAGCAGTGAATACCAGGTGAGGACATTTCTCTTTCAAATAAAGGCTTTGTATTAATGGCTCAGACAATCCATCGTGGCATTTCCCCATCCTGATTTCACTGCACTTGGAGAATATTTAGTTTTGGGGGGTTTGCTCGTTTTTCCAAGTATGTGTTAGAGGGAGAATTGAGTTGGATGTGGCAGTGTGCTGGTGGTGTGAGAGCAGAGAGGGAAGGTCCTGTGTGCTCACCCAGCACACCTTGAGCAGCCTGAGATCAACTCCTGCCTCAGAGATGTGTCCTCATGTGAGAAAGGGGAGAACAGAAAGCACAGACAGTGGCAGGGAAGAGGTGTTGAAAGTGGCTGGAGTTTTATTCCAGCTCAACCCACCCACACATTTGTAAGGCAGGATCCTGTCAGATATTATAGCTGTTAATATGATCAGGTATCCAAATATTTATCAGGCTCTCCAAATTATCAGCAGTGTCCATAGACCAGGAAAATCATACTCTGAATCGGCCACAAATTTCTCAGTGACTATTTCAACACATTTCCTTTCTATTTGTTATATTATTTCCTCAAAATAGTGAATATTGTTCCCTCCAAACGATTTAAAGTGAGTAATTGCCAACCTTGGAGCTTTGTCCTGGGGCATGGTGATCCAGGACCCACATGACAGGAGGGTTGTAAATGTTTCTAGGATGTAAATAGTAGTGAATAAGCTTTGCATGTCCAAACTGTCACAAATCCCTTTCCAAATACCGAGCTGAGAGGGTGTTACAACCAGGGGTAACATTCCTCTCAGCTAAAACCTGCAGCTTGGGAAGTTTTTGCATGTTCTCCTCATACCTGGAGCAAGGTACATCTTTCCAGTGCTAAACCCAGAGGCAGTAAATGCCAGAAGGTGGCAACACTAAATCCTCTCAGGAGGGGAAACCTGAGCTCTGTGTGTTCCCCAAGCATCTCTCTGCTCCCAGCGCTGGGACACCGCAGCTCCACCTCAGCCGGCTTCAGTTTCCTGCAATGAAGAAGTGTTTTCCTCCCACTCATTCCGGTTAGCTACCACCTAATTAATTTTTTTGGGGGCAGGAAACCTTGGCAACCGAGCAGGGGGTTGGCCTGGAGGTGTTGCTTTTTTTCTCTGCCTCTTTTAGTCTTTGTGAAATTGGAGTTCTGCTGGTTTACTCGAGGTGCTTTATTACACTGCCAGTGACGTGGCCTGAGGATTTTGATGGTTTGTGTGGATTCCATGTGTCCACAATCCTCTGGGAGCAAAGAGTAAGTTTGGGGCACTGATCTCACTTTCTCCATCTCAGCCACTCAGTTAGGAGTCGTGTGATTATTGCATTTCTGTGTTTTGAAGAAACTTGTCACCAGCCTCCCTCCCCCTCGAGAAATCAGAGATTTGGAGGAGGCAAAGAGCAGAAAAGAAGGAAGCAAAAGGCAGAATTTGTGCACTGGCAGGACACAGAGTGTTAAAAATGAGTTAGAAAGTGAGAAAACCCTGTGGCTGTTTTCTGAGAAGTGAAAGAGAAACCTTGGGACTAGTATGCCAAGGGGTGGAAAGATTGCAGTCAGTGCCCTCGAGCAGTGAGGAGGGATTGCTGCCAGCTGCTGAGTTAAATACAGATCTTACAGCTCTGTGAGCCAAGGCCAGGGGTTACCTGCCCCTTCTCAGGGCCAGGAACGCCAGGAAACCTCGTGTTAGTGGTGATGCAGTTCGCATTAGCATCTCCCGATGGAAAATTTGGCTTCCAACCTTCAAAGTGTTAATAAGCAGCGTGTGAGAAGGGTCTGCAGGCTGAGCAAACTGCAGGGAGTCAATGCCAGAGGAGTTTAGGGTTGAATTATGTTAGAATTTGAGGTTATGTGTGAATTTCCTGTGCTGTAACCTGTTTATATTTTATAGATATTTATATATATGAATTTCCTGTTCTGCTTGTCCTCCTTGCTTTGTGTTCTGTAACCCACCTGCTTCTTATTGCATATCTCTGTGTGCACAGATATGTGAGTGTGCACAGAGCTATGGTTTGAACCTGGCAAGGTTTGGACATTGCCAATCTTCTATCCAATATCTCAAGGTGACCTTGCAGCTCAGTAATTAAATAATGGACTGAATTCTTTTCTTCTTGGTTTCATGACAGGAACATTCATGTGAAGGCAATTTAAGTAAGGAGCAAAACTCTGTGCAAACAGAAACAGCATCAAAGGAGAAGGTGGGTGAAAAACGAATGAGTGCAATGCAGTTTTGTTGCAATTCATAAAGGTATCACTTGTTTCTGTAGATTAAATGAGCATCTGAGAACATCTTCAGACACAGCAGTTGTAGCTCTTTGCATCCCAGCAAAGCTCTGCTGACTGACTTCTCTTCCCTGCTCCAATTAACTTTATTAAATTACTCCTCAATGAAGCTTACAAAAATAGGAAAGTATTTGTTTCCTCTCATGTATTCAGGGAGAGCCACGTGAGCAAAAGAGGATTTAAATATGCTGCTTTATAGCAGCACATTTAAAACATCTTATCTATGAGAAGTTGCTATTAGGGGATCCCTGTGGTTTGTTAATTATGTTCTATCATCATGGGATCTGTTAGTTGGACACTTTACTGCCAGTGTGCAAGAAACCTGCATTGAACCACCCTCCTGATGGATGTATCACCAAGTTTCAAAGCTAGTTGGACACTAAGCTGTGGTAGATGCCTTGTCTTGAATTGACCTGACTTATCCCTGCTGGGACTGTGCCCTGGGGGTTTGTAGGTAAATAAAAGAATCTTTTTCAATTGGTATTTGATTATCTTCTTTATTTTTTCAGCAGAGCCACTCTACATCCTCAGGCAGCAATGATGGATGCTGCTTTTCTGAAGTTGGCTGTTCATTCAGGGTGAGTGGAACAGGAAGGTCCCACAGGGTGCACAGCTCAGCACTGTGCCTTTGGCCTAACTGTCCTTTCTCCTCAAGGCAGTGGCTCCTGATTTAAAGAAAAGAGAAAGTCTCCCTGTGTTTAGTTTGGCCAGCAGAGCTGATGTTGGACCTGCTGTGGTTGCAATGTGTGTGAGGTTCAGTTCAGCCACTGCATCAGCCTCTGCATCCTGCACTGTGTGTTCACTTCAGAGAAAACCAGATGTTTGTTAGGACTCTGTTGGTTTCTCAGACGTGCTATAACACTCTGGGTTGGGTATTCCCTTCAGGGTAACATCTCTGAGAACAGTAATGTGTCTTCTTTGCACTGTTGGCACCTCTTGCCTTGTCTCATCTTTTGTGTACAGTCCAGGTATTAAATATTGGCTCATTTGGGAATCTTGCTGGGACTCTGCCTGTTTAATACCAAACTTGTCACCAATGGTTGTGTTCTTCTGTAGCACATGTTCATGGTTGGACTCAATGGCCTCAAAGGTCTTTCCAGCATTAATGATTCTATGACTACACATGTGAACACATAGCCTAAACTTAGAGTCCTTCCTGGTTTTCCTCTCTCTGTGTCTCCTCTGATGTAGCTGTACCTTCGTCTTGCAGTTTTTCCATCTTTGTCTCTCCCAAAAAGCTAAAGGATTGCTGGATTTGGCCTTAGGTGATTATCAAGTATATTGACAGTGTTGTCTTCTTCCAGGGAAGCAAAGAGGAGATAAAGGAGCATGAGAAAACTGCAGTTGGTGCCCACATGCTGCTCCTGCTGCAGCACATGAGGCAGCTGAAGGGAAGTTTGTGCTCTGCTCCCAAAGCTGCATGTGGCTTCATCCCACAGTCAGAGCTGAATGTGAATGGTGCAGGGAAAAGCATCTCCAACCTGCAGATCCCAGTGGGGCTGGAACTCGATGGGGAGCTGGAAGTGGACTGCTTTCCTGGCCCTTCTGCTTCTGAAGATGAGTCTGTTCTGCAACAGCTCCTGAGGGAGAAAATGATTTCTGAGCTCGAAAATAAGCTGCAGGTGTTTGAGAATATTGTGGCAGTGCTCAACAAGGAGGTTGAGACCTCTCATTTGGAGATCACAGCCTTTCGGAGACAGAGTGAGCTGGATCAGAATATCATACGAGGCCTTGAACTGAAGGTAAATGTCCTGATAAACATTGTGTGATGGTTCCAGAGGCAGCAAACGTGGACAGGTATCAGTGAGGGCTGGGGTAGGGGTCAGGACAGGCAGTTTGCAGTGTTAAGTCTAGACACATCTCCGGGATCCCTTTGTTGTTCTGGAGACATTTTCAAGTGGAGATCTCTAATATTTGTTCTCCTAAATCTATGTTTAGGTACTGAGCTATTCCTGAGAGTTCTGAGTGTTCAGAGCTTGCCATGATCAGACTGTGAGCAAACCAGACAGTTGTTTAATTGCCTGATCCTCTTACAGCAGCATTTTGCCTGGAGGCCCAAACAACCATCTCTCTGCTTGTTTGGCTTATGTTTTGACACAGAGCTGTCACTTAGAAAGCAATCAAAGGAGAACTTCCAGAACAGGAGGCCTGCAGAACGAGGCAGCTAGTGTTGCAGCACAGCCTGCAGAGGGGTTTGACTGAGAAATGGTCTCTCTCTCTGCAGATTGCAGAGCTGCACCGGTGCCTGATGCAGAAGGATGCAGGTCTGAGCAGCCTGCACAAGAGCCTTCTGTTCTCTGAGCAGGCGTCCTACGACGGAGTCTTTCTGTGGAAAATCACAGACGTAGGCAGGAAGCTGCAGGACTCTGTGACTGGCAGAACAGTGGGTTTGTATTCCCCAGGTAAAGCACTTGGTGTCTGTGGGTGTTAGCAAACCCAAATCCTTTAGGAAACCCCCTCATCTCCCTAGGATGCTGCTGCTTTCTGCTCCTGGGGACAGGAGGGGCTTTCACACATGCTCTTTATGCAAAGCGCTCATGCTCTCCTGTATGTTCTCCACGTGCCTGTAATCCAGGGCACTTGGGATGTGCTTTTCCAGAGAGTTTGTTCTCTTCTGGGCTCTCATGCTGCACTTTGCCCTTCGCCACAGCTCCTTGCAGTGCCATTAGCTGGATCCATCTCTCCCAGCCCACAGCTCGGTGCCTGCTGGCACCACACAGCTCCCTGCAGCAGATATTTCCCACGTGGGAAGTAATTGGATTAGGTAAAATACACTTGTGTGGCTAATAACAGGTAATTTTCAGCGAGGCATGAGGCACTAAAAGGATTCCAACTGCTGGATTTTCATTGCTTGCAATCTCCAGGGTGTTCTGATTTGTCTGTTCTCCTCTCTGTGAGAGCAAAACACGTCACACATTACCTTTTCACATATGCCAGAACACTCACTATTCCACTTTTTTTTTGTTTCCAAAAGAGGCTTTACTAACAAAGAGTTCTGATTTTCAGCTTTCTACACTGCAAAGTATGGCTACAAGGTCTGCCTGAGGGTGTACCTGAACGGGGATGGGACAGGGAAAGGAACCCACATGTCCCTGTTCTTTGTTGTCATGAAAGGAGACTATGATGCTTTGCTCCCATGGCCCTTCAGGCACAAGGTAAGAAGAGAAACTTTTCCATATCTGATCCCAGCCTAAACCTTCTGCTGCTTGCAGTCAGCAAAAGGAGATTTTTTTCTCATAAGTGTGATCTGGTAATGGCAACAATGGTTAGAAAAGCAGGGAAGGTATGGCAGGGCCAGATTTCTGCTCCAGCACTTGCCTTCATGTGGTAATAATTCCATAAACCTTTCATATAAATAACGTTAGTAAGAGTTGGAACCCAAAAAAAATAGCAATCAAAGTTCCCAATCCTCACTGTGTTAACAGATTATTACATATATTTCTTGTTTGAAGCAAGTGAGTTAATAAAAGAAGTAATGGAATGAGACATTTTATACTGATATTTAGGTTGTGTCTTTTCCATATTTGCAACCGAGACATTTCTTTTCCTTCCAAACCACAATCACAGCATGGATGTAATGACTTTAGCCAAGCCTAGGGTTTGTTTAAGTTGTCAGGAGAGAGAGAGGAAAAAAGTCTTTGGACTGTGCAATTCTCTACCAAGAAATAATTCCTCACTTGATTTAATTTTGGTTTATGGGTGGCAAAGTTTTCAGTGCTTCACGTGGGAACTGTTACAATCTCCCAGAGAACTGTCACAATCTGACCTTGCAGGCTGGAAACAGTTTGTGTTTCATTGTCACTAGAGCATCCAAGCTGCTTCTGCAGCTCTCCTCTCCCTGATCTGTTCTGATGATTTTTCACTTTCATAACTCACCATTGCCATGTTCTGTTTTCCAGGTGACATTTATGTTGCTTGACCAAAACAACAGGGAACACATCATTGATGCATTTCGGCCGGACTTGACTTCTGCTTCATACCAGAGACCAGTGAATGACATGAACGTGGCAAGTGGCTGCCCCATGTTCCTGCCCTTGGCCAAGTTACAGTCCCCCAAATATGCCTATGTGAAAGAAGACACACTTTTCCTTAAATGCATCATAGAAACCAATTAGCAGCTCTGGAAATAGGAGTGTCTGCTAAATCACCCACTGAATGTCAACAGTTTACAAGAAAAGACCATCAGTTTGAGACTTTGTATTAGCTTACATGTGCACACAAAATCCAGAGAGCCTGAGCCTGTGCCCTGCTGAATCCACTCACATCACCTGAAGACTCACCTGTGCATGCCAAGGGCTTCACCCCCTGCCCATGGGCCATGTTACTGCAACTGGGAATGTGATTCTTTCACCACAACAGCCAATTCTCCTAGTTTAGGTGTTGGTTACAGTCACCCCCAGCCTGCACAGGGACTTGTGGGAAAGGCACTGCTGTTCCTCACACCTAGCCCGGTGTGGGTAGGATTCTGCTGGAGTGCCTGGCAGGGAGTGAGGCCGAGCTCCTTTGGAGCACCTTGGGTTAACAGGTTTAAGGGGTGAAGCTGAGCTTTCCCACCCTCCAGCAGTGCTGGCTCCCTTTCCTGGGAGGTACAGAGTGAGCACCTGGCAGACCAGGCTGCCTGGCAGCCCCTGTGAGGAGTTTTGGCTGTTCCCCAGCAGGGACACGGGCAGATTCCTTCCCCTTGAGGCCCTGATCGGGTGTCTCTGGAAGCTGTGAGCTGTGACAGTGCTGATGGCTTCAAACCCTTGCACTGGTGATTTATTTCTTGCTATTTATTTTAGACCTCTATTTATATGCTCTGTAAAGAGATGTTCTGTTGCACCAGCAGTCAGGGACCAGGTTACACTGTGCCTTGGGGAAATTAGCTCTTGGATTTCCAAAGGAGCTGTTTGACTTTTCCATTGCAGATATGGAGCTCTGGGGATTGTTAAAGCCAGGAATCCCAGGGCTGTCAGTCCAGGTGGTGGTAAGGACCCTGCAGTGTTTAAGGGATCCAGTCACTTTCCCAAGCTTCAAGGCAAGTCACTTATTAGCAATTATTGATTTGTTTTATTGCTTAATTCTTTTGATGTGCTCTGATGTCTGAGACTTTTCCCATGCTAAAATAGAAGTAACTGCTAGAAATGTTTATGTCTTTTGGTTTTAATAGAGGTAGGGAATGGATAATTATTTTTATGTAAGCAAGACAAGCTTGGGACTGTCTGGCTATGTCTCATTTCTATCTTGACAACATCCTTTAAAATAATTAGTTGTGATAAAGTATCAAATTTCCAAGCCACCCACGCCATAAGCAAACATCTATCAAAGCTTGTTTGGGAAGGAACTGGATATTCTTTGCCATCACATACACACAGAATCTCTCTCTGTCTGCCTTTCCCTCACTTCCGTGTTTAAAATGTTCTTTCAGGGACAGAAGGTTATTTTTCCAGCAATGTTCTAGCCCCTGTAACCACACTGGAGTAATTTGCCTAAATATATTATGCTTTTCATGGCTGTGTCACTGTGACCAGAGCTGTATTTATTACAATCACTCATATTTTCTTACCACTTTTATTTATTGCCTAAATAAAGCTCACTAACTTAAGAAAGGTTTGGGTGTTATTTTCACTGTGAAACAGGGAATTGAGCAACTTGGAGATGGGATGAGGTTTGATATAGAAACAGACCAGCTGTGCTACTCCTTCCTTCCTTCCTTCCTTCCTTCCTTCCTTCCTTCCTTCCTTCCTTCCTTCCTTCCTTCCTTCCTTCCTTCCTTCCTTCCTTCCTATTTCTGGGCCAAGGAAGGTCTCTGGAGTTGCAGACATGCCCATAACATCTCTGTGTACCTAAGGCTTTTATTACTCTCAAACCTGCCCAGCTGGGAGAGCACTTAGAGACTTTTCATATCTTAGGGGATTGCACAGAGCGTGCAAAGAGAGCTAAGTTAAAAAAAAAAAACAAAACAAAAAAAAAGGAATATGGATCAAATCCATGCTAAATAAACCCGATGGCTAATGCTCTTCCTTTTAAAGGCACAGCTGGCACAAAGCAGCCGAAGTTAATTGCGGTGATTAGAGCCACAGTCGGAGCGGCCGCGCCCGTCGGGGCACATCGCCACCCTGTGCCCCATGCCCCGCGGCCCCAGCCTGGAGCCGCCGCTCTCCAAACACGGCTCTGCTCCCAGCCCGGCTCCTCCTGCAACAGCATCCCGAGTTTCAGCTCCGGCCGCAAAACCGTCTTGATGAGGAAGTGGCTGACACTTAAAGAAGGGATAGCAAGAGTTCTCTAATGCAGCAAATCGCTCCTGTTTATGGAGATGAACAGCCAAAGTGATTTTGGTTTGGGTTTGGATCAAATCAAACTATGCAGAAAAAAAATCAAGGAGAATTTTAGTGAGTTGAATCAGGACCGTTTGCTCCATGTTCAGTGGCTGGGTTGGCAAAGAGCCATAGTGATCCTGTAGTTATAATGGTCTGAAATCATCAAGGGCAAGATTTGTCGGGGAAAATGGCATTTCTTTTTTTGAATGGACTAAGCTGAAAAAAAACCCCAGGCAAATTTTAGACTTAGAAGCCCTTCTTCAGGGCAGGAAAAGAACTCAAAGCTTACACAGAGTGGTTTTGAGCTTAAATTCGTTGTGTTGGTCAATCAGGTGATTGCAGTGAAGAGGTGGTTGAGACCCTTGGAGCAGAGGGAAGCACTGGCATAGAAAAGGAGTGAATTATGTCAATAGTTGAAGCTACTTCGGTTGTAGCATCCGTTGTCATGGATGTGCCCTACGGAACCAGCTGCATCTTCAGCTGGAAGTGACACTTTGGGAGCTGTTTGGAGCTGCACTGGGTCTCGCAGTGCCACAATCCCATGTCACCAGGCTCTGGGAGGCTCCGGGGTACTGCAGCCAGCTCAAGCCTTTCCTGCAGATCTGATCTCCACGTCAGGCCTGGAGCTCATAGGCAGCTTCGTGTTTGGCTTTCCATTCAATATTCCTCGGCTCCGGTCTCCAAGGCTACAAGCCAACATACAACCCCTCCTCCCGCTGCTGTTTTCAAAGAAAGAAAAACACTGTGAAAAGAGGCTGCAACGATTTCTGGGCAGTTTTCAAAGCAGAAAGGCGGCGCTGGGAGCTGCTCACCCCACGCACGCCTCGGGCTCTGCTCCAGCCACAGCCGTGGTGGATCCATCCTCACTGGAGCAGGGAAGCACCTCTGCCCGTGCAGGGTGCAAAGAAGCGAGTAAAAGTTCTTAAGGACAAAGTGGGAGCAATTAACTACCTGGGGCTCCATTCAAAACCTTTTACAGATACTGGTTTTGTTTGGGAATTCCATAGTGGGGAAGGAGCCTGGGTCACCGTTTTTGGGGCTGTCATTCATTTCTATTCACTTGTTTAGGGAATAATCTGCTTTTAACAACTTGATTTAAACGCGACCCTCCTTGCTATTCCCACAGGGAGTGTGGGTCAGCCTGGAATTCCAGCTCTGCCAGCACAGAGGTCCCTTCAGCTGGGATGTGAGAGCTATGTGGGCCCTGGTGGGTGCTCCTTCCCCAGCAGAGTGTGTCAGTGTCATCCCACTGAGGTCCCTTGAGCCCCATTGGAGTGAACCCAGTTGCTCAGCTGTGTCTGACCACTGAATCTGCTCCAGCATCTGCCAGGGGCCACGAACCCACAGAGGCAAAGAAATCAGATCTCCAGGGTCTCCCCTGACCTGCAAAGATGTGCAGGAAACACCAGGTGGGTGTGCAGGGGAGGAAGAGGAGGAGGAGAGCAGCATCCAGCAGCTCACTGCAGCAGATGCTGAGGCCAGGCTCAGTGGATGCTGTGTCAGGAGCACCTGCAAAGAAACCAGAGTTAGAGGCAATTGTGTGCCTTCATTCCAGTTAGGAAATAAAATGAGACATCTCAAATTCTTTTTTTTTTTCTTTGAATTTTGTTTGCCACTTTTGTCCCAGGGCAATGTCACTGTGCTCTTTCCATTGGTAGGTGCCAGGTTTGGGGTGCCCACTCTGTGTGGAAGGTTTTTGGTAAGGTTATCCCTGCTTGCACCCCTGGTGAACCTGAACCCGAGCTTGATTTCCGTGTCACACCATCCGCATTCCTGTGGCAAACAACCCAGATGCTGCAAACATCAACCGCGGTGGCTGCGGAGGGAGGGAGGGAGGGAGGTGCTCTCCAGCCCCGCGGGGACAGGCTGGGACAGGAATGCTGCCCCGGGAGTGCAGCAATCCACTGGATTTCGGGCAAACGCAGCAGCCCCGATGCAGCGAAGCGAGTAGAGGGTTTGTCCGAGGGGAGAGCTGTGCTGCACGAGTTATTTTAATCCTAAAGTGACTCACACTATCCTGGCGTGACTCACACGGGCCTGGGGCTGCTTGGAGGTGTGGCACAGCATGGCACGGCACAGGGTGGCACGGCATGGCACGGCATGGCATGTTGGGTCACTACCTTCACATCGTGCTGGGTTTTCTCTCGCACGTCTAACTGCACAGCAAGCAGGAGAGAACGGCTGTGCATCCCTCACTCAGGGAACTGTGTGCCCCATCCCGTTCACAGGTGCAGCATCACAAGGAGCACTCGGACACCAATGTTTTATGGGGAAGTTTGATTAAAAATATTATTTCTAAGCTGACAGAATTCCAGGCTCATCCTGCTGCCCTGGAAGCTGCTCGCTCGCAGCTCAAGCTTTGTTGCAGGTGTGCTCTGAGCTGCTCCTGGTGCTGCAGGAGCTCATCCACTACGGGCAGGAAAATCCCTATGGACTCTGCTCGCGCTTGGCCCAGACCTTGCACTGGGAATCAGCTCCTCTATGGCCGAGCAGCCTGGAAAACATTGCTTTTTTTTTTTCTTTTTCGGGAGCGCTTTCCAACAAACAGCAAATCCTTCGGATTTCTTCTTGGCACTCACCGAAGCATTTTTTCGGTGATTGATTTTCTCTGTTGAGATTCAGAGAAAGGCTGAAAGGCTGTTCCCAGTTCCAGGAATCCCGGCGAGCACAGGTCGTTCCCTCGCAGGACGATGCTGTGCCCCCAGCCCTGCCCCATCCCGGGGGTGCCCGTTCTGGCTCGGAGAGGGAGTGGGCAGAGATGTCCTGAGTGTGGCAGGGGGTGGCAGGTCCCTCCCCGCGGGCAGAGGGTGCGTGTC